ATGCATGACCCTCACACGCTCTCTCTCTCTCTCTCTCTCTCTCTCTCTCTCTCTCTCTCTCTCTCTCTCTCTCTCTCTCTCTCTCTCTCTCTCTCTCTCTCTCTCAGGCTGTCGGCAAAATTCAAAGGAGAATATTAGAAGGGGGAAAAAAAGAGAAGAAAAACACCGCATAAAGGTTTTTACCTGTTTTGTGTTTTGTGTTTTTTATTCATATTTAGCAAAAACTATAAATTAAAGGCAGAACAGGACACGTGTCCTTATTACTTTTTTATTTCCTTTTTTTAGATAAATAATTAATTTTTTTACCCAAGTCACGAGTTTGATTCGAGTTGTTGGAAAGAGAGGAGGATAATTTTTCGGTTGGAAGGATGTTGCTCTCTGAACCTCTGTCGCCGGGTCCCTAAAGACTGTTTCCGGGTCTAGATAGAGGTAGATTGAGTCGAAGATTCAGGTGAACCTTTTGGTTAAAAATAAATTAATTAACTTTTTTTTTGCTTGAAACACTCTTTATATGCCCCATTATATCTGTTACATATGTGTGTATAATGTGTTTTTGTGTGTGCAAAAAAAAAAAAAAGCTTTGACAAAAACTCTCTACATATATTTATATGCATAAGGATACGATTACTAGTGCGTAGGCCCACTGACGCGTGTGTATGTGTATATATATTAAAAAGAGGACTTGGGTTAAAAACAATGGCACCGCCACTGTATTCGAATAATATATAATATGTGCATACATTATATACATATATATACAAGTATAGTATGTAAATGCACACGCATACAAGTCACATATGACATATGTGATGTGCGCTTTCTTAGACTCCGTTTATATTTTATTTTGTTATGTAATCATATTACTTTTTTTTATTGGAGTAATTATATTACTTGTGCGTCTCGTAAATATATATTACAACCATATACGTACCATATACTCATACGTATAATCACTTTTGTATATATATACACACACGCACGCGTGTGATGCTGTAATATAAAATATCGGTCCGTATGGAAAACTAAAACGATCTACGTACACAAAATGATATGATATAATATTATTTGTTATACTACGTGAGTTTGTGACGTCGCTGCTCATTTGACAGGATATTGCACTAGTACTACACTTTTAATTGAATTATTAGTTCTAACCAATTTTCAACAACTAAAATTTACGACGTACAATTCCTTTGAAGAACATGTATACAAGGCAATACAGATATTAGACTGTATATGTGTGTGTATAGGTTTATACTATACTGATTTCGGTTAGTGTTACAGTTGATCATTTGTCGATCGATGATGTTGGTTCGGGCATCTTGTATTGTCGTTTAATATATGTGTCCACATAATCATGGAACTTCGTTCTTGATTAATCATTGTGATATTAAAAAAATTTAAAATATAATTGATGGGCATTATATTAAAAAAAAAAAAAACTACACTAATTGAAAATATTAGTATATGTATTTGTCTTTCCCGACCAAATCCAACATCTATAATGATGAATAGAAGAATGTCTCTAATGAGCCGTAAACAAATACCGAATTGCTAGTACTTTACTTCATGAACTCACGACATCTGTTTTCATTTTCGTTGAATTTGCATGTTCGTGAGATATTTCCTAATTAAAATACATATATTATCTCATATTGTTATGGACTTTTTAATACCATTTAATATTTAAAAATAATTATAATATTTTTTTATTAGTTAAAAGTTAGTAAAAAGAAAAGACCATTTGTGCAAATGTTACGCAGGAGTCAAACTCCGGCATTCCGCGTAGTATTAAATGCAGGAAAATTAATGATCTTATTAGAAAAAATAAAGTTTTTCAAATGTGAACGTATTAACTAGACATGGATCATAATTAATTTTGTGGTTAATGTTTTCACTTGCTAACCATTAGTTCTAACACCATATTTAAATTTGAATATATAAAATTGAATGAATATAAAACAAATAAAATATAACCTTATACTCCTAGCTCTGCATAAAAAAATATAATTACTTCTAAAAAAGAAAAAAAAATAGTTTTTCCGAGGAAAAAGAAAAAAAAAACTTGAGTTCTTTGATACTTTAGTACAAATTCGATTCCTATAATTCATGTCAAGAATAATGAGAAAATATAATTTCCGCGTCTTAATTTAAAAACATTGCATGAGGACGTAACAAATAACAATTGTCAACATGCAAATATATAAATTATTTATTTTATTGGTTAGGCGAAGAAAGACAAAAATAATTATTATTTTTTTTGGTAAAACAAAAATAATCATGTTAGTGCTTGAACTTTGTTATTGTTGAAATCGGTAATTGGTGCATCCCCTTTTCAACGCGAAACAAAAGGCCTGTCACACATCGACCCCATAAGACCTAAAAAGTGAGAAAAAAAAAACATAATAATTTAAATTAAATCTACTTTGTTGGAATACGCACACATAATTATTATTTTTTTGTTGTTAAAAATGTAAATACACACATAATTATTCTGTAAAGTGTATTTCTTAAAACTTTGTAATCTGTTTTGAGAAAAAATAATCAATTTCTATTTTTCATATGATAATTTGATACATTTTCTTCAATCGTTTACATGTTATCTAAAAATAACATTAAATTATAGCGATCACAATATTTGATCAACTTTCATTCACCCTCGTATATGCAGTCGTATACATAGACATATTTATACATGTATTCATGTATATGCAACGGGAGGAAGGGGACCAATGAAAGAGACAGCTGAGGAGAAAATGGTGGAAGATCAAACAAAAAATAATCAAGAATATTTATGGTGTTTAAAAATATAGTTTATTAAAAAATATTGAAATAATTAGTAAAATAATTTTATTCGGTATCCTTTGCTTTGCTTGCTAACAACCCAAAAAAAAAAATCATTAGCAATATATTTCTTATTATTCAAATCGGGCCTATACTTTCTAAGTTGAAACGTTTTCACATGAGAAGTGGAGTTTGTTCAACAAGTAGGACCGGTTAGACGACCCTCCTAAGAAATAAATTAGATCACTAATCTATGATTAGAAGCTTATAATAAATTTATATATTGAAACAAAGTTGTAAAAGATTGAAGTTTATATGAAACATCTAATCAAGTTTAGAAAAGCTAACATACACAATAAATAAAATACAGAATGTAATTTTTTTAAGTTTGAATCCATATATATGATGCTAAATACATACCATATAATTAATTATCCGAAAATTACAAAATCTTAATATAAAAATCTTCGATTTTGTTTTTAAAAGGAAATCCTTTGTGTTTTTTATTTATTAAAGTGTTAATCAATTTCAACGTCTTTTTTCTTATTCTTTCGGACAAAAACCTCCAAAAACAGCGGTCAATTAGCGTATCTCAATCAATGGCAGATTTCACTGGCTTCCAGTTTCTTCTCCATCTCAGCCAACTCTCACGCGCTTCATTAATCCTCACTTCTTCTTCTTCTGGTTAAACCTACTGATCGCTCTCATTTTCTTTATATCGGCAGGTAAAAATCTAGACTTTCTTGAATCAGAATCTGTCAGTTCTGAAATTAAATTCGAATTCCCGAATCCGTCATTGATCAGTCGAGGTTTCTACGACGGTGGGTGATGGGTAATAGTAGGGTTCTACAAGTTGATAAGGTTTATAGTCTTTAAGTGCGCAAAATAAACCGTGTAACAACGACAGTTTCCGTAAATGTAATTTCAGACAGCTCGACAGCTTCTGTGTATTTAATGTAAGAACTGAAGACGTATCTTCTTGTTGGAGAATATCCGGCTTTGGGGAATTTTTGGGAAGTGCCTGTGAAACCTTGAAAATGGGAAGTGTCCGCTCTTCGCTGCTGATTTGCCTCAACCTATGGTGGCTCCTCGCCGGAGAAACGGTTTTCGCGGCGGAGGAGAAAAGCGGCGACAAACAGAGAGAACTCAGTCAGACGCCGACATGGGCTGTCTCCGCCGTTTGTACCTTCTTCATCGCCGTCTCTGTTCTTCTGGAAAAATTTCTACACAAATTGGGGACGGTAAGCATCTTTGATGGGATTTTCTTTTGTGGATTCATAATCCTGGGACGTTAACGGAGGGTGGGTTTTGTTTAATATGAGGAAAGGAACTGCCTTTCTGCTTCAGTTTCTGTTCCTGATGAGTCGGGTCTGTGTCTTGATGTGATCTGGTTTCACTCCAGGTGTTGTGGGAACGCCACAAGAAAGCTCTCCTCGATGCCCTGGAGAAGGTCAAATCAGGTAAAATCGCAAGGCTCTGTCTCCATTTATCGCGGTTGCTCGGTTTTAAGTTCGAATCTCATTATAGAACCTCAGAGCCATTAGGGGGAGGTCTTTTCTGTGGAAAGTTTGAAGTTGTAGATATTTATTGATAGGGCTTCTCTAAAATTATCACCTAGATTCTTGATTTGAATGCCAAATCTAGATTCTTTTTCATTGCGTTGCAGAACTGATGGTTCTGGGGTTCATATCCTTGCTTCTCACGTTCGGACAAAGCTACATTTTGAAGATATGCATCCCTGAAAAAGCTGCTCGTACCATGCTCCCATGCCCGGCTTCTCCTGGCAATAGTGAACACGAGAATGAGGACAGTCATCGTAAGCTCCTGTGGTTCGACCACAGGTTTCTGTCAGAAGACGGAGGGTCAGCTAAAAAATGCTTGGAGGTGAGTTTATGCCTTCATCTATTCTCTTACCCTTACCCTTCCACCGGTCTCAGCATGTGTAAAATAAACATTGGGTTTTGCTGATCGTGTTATGTAATAATGCCGCAGGCTCATAAACAACAGCTTATATCTGCCGAGGCCCTGCATCAGTTGCACATCCTCATCTTCTTCTTAGCAGTATTCCATGTCCTTTACAGCTTCCTAACCATGATGCTTGGGAGGTTGAAGGTAAGCTGTAAGGCTATTTCAAGTTTCAAAAACTTTCGTTTATTACCTGTTCCTCAGCCCCTGTAACAAAAATCACAGAAGCAAAACATGGGTTTGTCTTATCGTAGACAAGCTAGGTGCTGGTGAAACTGGCTGAAAATATGTCAGATCACAGGGTTTGTTCATGAAGTCGCCAGCTGAAACCACCTTGTTTCATTTTTCAAAATGCCTCTAATGTTAAAACCTGCTCCAATATTCAGTAGAATCGGAGTTTTTTTTTCTCCTGTTATGAAACATCAAGGAACAAAACTCAAATAGCGATGATCAGAACCGGTTTATCCTCCATTGGTTCAGGATGAAGGTCATTTTAACAGTCCCTGAAAATGTTGGCTCGTCTTTGATAATGAGAGGAAGATGGCCTTTTTTTTTTGTGCAGATACGTGGCTGGAAACACTGGGAGCAAGAGGTATCATCCCACGATTACGAGTTCTCAACTGGTATTCGATCATTCTTCCTCTGACCCATCTCCATCCAAATTCTTGAAACTCCCTTGGGTTTTATATAATGACGTATCCGTTTTAATATCTTGATCTGGGTGTTGTTTTGGACTCTGAAACTGTTTTTTTTTTTATGATCGGCCACAGATCCTTCCAGATTCAGGCTAACCCATGAAACATCTTTTGTTAGAGCACATACCAGCTTCTGGACAAGGATTCCATTTTTTTTCTATGTTGTAAGACACACACCATTCATTTACTCCTTTTTTTTCCGGTCAACTGCTGATATTCATGCCTATAGAAACTCACGCAGTTCTCACATGTCCTGAATCTTAATCTGTTCAAATTCTATCATTCTCTGCAGGGATGTTTCTTCAGACAGTTTGTCAGATCCGTTGGGAAAACTGACTACTTGACACTGAGAAACGGGTTCATTGCTGTAAGTTTTTTTTTTAAAACTTCGCAACTATAGTTGATTTCAATTCCCAGACATATCAGATCTAGCATTCTTATTATTTGTCTGATTGTGTCTGTTCTGATTCATATAGGTTCATCTGGGTCCAGGAAGACAATTTAACTTTCAAAAATACATAAAGAGATCCTTAGAGGACGACTTCAAGATGGTGGTCGGAGTGAGGTACTTACCAAATGTGTTCTGCCACTACGCTTCTTTCGTAATGTTTTACACATCATTTGACCCGATTCTTGTGTCTTTTTTGCAGTCCGGTTCTCTGGGCATCTTTTGTGATATACCTACTCCTAAATGTTCACGGTATAAGCTTGTTCCTTCGATATCTAAAGCTTCCTAACCGAACTGTCTGCTCATGTCTTAATCTGATTCTTTGGTATTTCAGGCTGGAATACTTTGTATATTGGTTCCGTGGTGCCTGTTATCGTAAGAATCTTTTTTTCGCCTTTCTTATTCATGATTCTTCTGAAAAAATAAAATGGGTGCCGGGTCAGGGTTCTTATTATCATCTGACAATCTGCTTACAGATCATCTTAGCAGTGGGGACAAAGCTTCAGGCAATTCTGACAAAGATGGCACTTGAAATCACCGACAGACACGCAGTTGTCCAAGGAATGCCTCTTGTCCAAGGATCCGACAGATACTTCTGGTTTGGTCATCCTCAGTTACTTCTTCATCTTATCCATTTCGCCTTATTTCAGGTTCTTGAACAGTTTCTTCTACACTGGTCATAAAACACGAGACCCGCTTTCGTATATATACATTTCAAACCTGACCCGTGTCTTTATGGTTCTTGCAGAACGCATTTCAGATCACGTATTTCTTTTGGATATGGGTAAATCTAAACAGCTTAACCTTTCTTCTTTGGTTCTCGAAAACTGAAGAGAGTAATCTTTACTCAAAACACAATAATATGATTATTGTTTCTTCTTCTTCTTCTTCTTCCTCTTCCTCGGTGCAGTATTCCTTTGGATCGAATTCATGCTATCATCCCAACTTCAAGGTTGCCATTCTAAAAGTATCTATCGGGTGAGAATGTTGTCCGGAGCCCGAAAAGTTGATCGTATTTAATGTATAAATGAGGTCTCGTGTTCTTGAAACTGATTCATCGCTGCCATGTCCTCTTGCAGACTTGCAGGGTTATGCCTTTGCAGCTACATCACGCTTCCTCTGTATGCACTTGTAACTCAGGTACTTGCATATTTCCTCGTTTTGAAAGCTTGGAGTTCCATATTTTTGTCTTGCAATGTAAAAAAAGATCCAAAACCCTCGGCAATGGATGCGTTTTCAGATGGGTTCACGCATGAAGAAATCCGTGTTCGATGAACAAACCTCAAAGGCACTCAAGAAATGGCGAATGGCGGTGAAGAAGAAGCAAGGGAAAGGCGGGAAGATTCAGAGCAGGAGACTAGGAGACGGAAGCGCAAGCCCGACAGGGTCAACGATCCGTTCATCATCAGGACGGACCTTGCACCGTTACAAAACTACAGGCCACTCGACTCGGTCTTCCACATACGATGACCGTGACAACGAGACATCAGAGTTCGAGACAGACACGGAGCCCTTGTCTCCAAAGCCAACAGGGTTCGATCTTGTCGTGAGGGTTGATCATCGCAAGCAAGAACCCGAGGCCACCGAGACACACAGTGATGGTGAAGCCATTGATGAAAAAGATTTCTCCTTCGCTAAGCCTGCACCTAGTAAAGGATCACAGTGAAAACGGTCAGGTGCTGCTGATAAACTTTTTTTTTTGTTTGTGTGTAAAGATCCATACTTTGCTCTAAAAATGCCGAAAAAGATTCGGGCTTTTGCATAGCCAAGGTTCTCTGATGGGTTGTGGTACACAGATTCTTTCTGCCAATAGATTCTTGAAAGGGCAAAGCTTTTGTTTCACATCCAAATTGCACATGGGACATGCTAACAAAGGCAACACCACTTTTTTCTTTCTCTTTTTGTGGAAGGTGCCCCTAAGATTGAAGGGTTAGTGTCCATAAAGAGAAAACAAAGAGAAAGATAGGATCTTTAGGGCATATGATTGGTTAGGTTTTCATCATATAAACAAAGAGAAGAGATATGGGCGCATGTGAGATGACACACCCATCTTTTGTTATGTCCTTTTCTCACAGAGGAGGAGACATTACAACACAATCCCCAACACCCATATACATATATATATGTATATATATGTATATATATATATATATATATTTGTATGGATATCAAGATTATATTTTGAGCCCCATGTAATGTTATTATATATTTCGACATGTTTCCATCAATCTTTCTCCATTATTGATTTCCTTTAGAGGTGTCCAATTTAAATTATTGGTTCCTTTCTCTTGCATAAAAAGACTAAGAAAGCACTTGATGAGTTAGGGTATAAGTTGTTTAACCTGTTTATATCTAATTTTTCAAAGGATTATATAAAAACAAATTTTATATATTTATATCAGCTATGAATCCATTCTGGTGAGCTAGGATATTTTTGGTGTGACTCATAATATATAATATGGTTTTTCAGTCCATTCCATTATGAACTTCTCTTTAAGGTATCTTTCCACATTCTGTGCCATAAGCGACGGAGAGGGACTTCAAAGGAAATAATCCAATCGGGCCTTTTTTTTTATGATATTTTTATAACTTTTTTTATTTGAAGGAACATAGTTATTTATTTTCCCCTTTTTTTTATTTGTTTAATTTATAGATTTTAAACGATAACGAGAATATTAGGAACTCGATGGATATTATATTATAATCTCGGACATAGTTCCTTCCAACCATCCGGTTTAATCACACGTGTCGGGAAAACCATTGCCGCACACCGTATCTCACTCTATGGCCTTTCCTGTAGGGTTTAAACTATATATATATAAAATAAATAATTTTAAAAATTCGAGGTAGGTTTAGGAAACAAAAGTCTTCATTGAAACAGAACCTAACAAGCCTTCCACCTACCCTCTTTCAATCTCTACTTTGACTCATTTTACACCCTACTTTCCCCCCGTTTTCTAATTTATTTTTTTTATAATTTCTTCATAATCATAAAAGAATATTTTGTTTTTATAGTATCTCATACGATATTATCCAAATGAACAATGCATGAACATTGAACACATTCCAAGTTGCATATGAGAACACTTTTTTTAAAAAGAAAAATATCATACAAAGATGTTTATTTTATTTGACAGTTAAAAGTGGAAACGTTTCTTTTCAAGTGATTATAACTTATAAATCATACCTACCGATTACGATTTAGATTTATTTATATAAATATCTCTTTTGTAAAAGGGGTCTTTTTTCCTTTCAAACTGATTTCCGAATCTTGGAAATTCGCATCTTTTAAAATTTGTCACTTTTTCTTCGACGGCCAAACTTTTCTAACGTGGAAGTAATTAAATATTTATTAATTTTGTCTGCAATTTCCACTATATATACACACACACACATATATATGTCTTTGTCTACTTGTTTAAGTTGGATCAGACTAGAAGCACAGTGCTCCTCCTTATCAATCATCGCTTCACATTCTCTCTTCACACACAACCAAAAAAAAAAAACAAAGCTATGGCACGGCCGTCCAGAATCCTGCAAACGGCGGCGGCGGCGCCGCCGGAGCAAGAGGTCCTCGCGGCGGAGTCCGACATGGTCGTCATCCTCTCGGCCCTCCTCTGCGCCCTCATCTGCGTCGCCGGCCTCGTGGCGGTGGCCCGCTGCGTCTGGATTCGAAGATTCACCGGAAATTCTCCGCCGCCGCCGCCGAAGAAAGGCCTTAAGAAGAAAGCTCTGGAGTCTATACCGAGATTCACCTTCTCCTCCGCCGAGCCGCAGCCGGCCACTGACTGCGCCATCTGCCTCACCGACTTCGCCGACGGCGAGGAAATCAGGGTTTTGCCACTCTGCGGCCACGCCTTCCACGTTTCGTGCATCGATCGGTGGCTAGCTTCGAGGTCGTCGTGCCCGTCGTGTCGCCGGATTCTTGTACCTTTGAGGTGTGACCGGTGCGGTCACGTCCCGGCGGCGGAGGCCGAGATCAAGGCGGCGCAAGATCAGCCCCACCGTCACCACCAGCATCGGCCGCCACCCACCACGGCGATCCCTGCTTTTCTTCCATAACGATATTTTTATTTCTCTTGAGAATGAAAAAAAAAAGGAAATATGTAAAGAGCGAGTTTCATGGTTAGGGATTTAGACAAAATCTGTAATACTTCAAGAGATTTGTTTCCTTTGCTCTGAAATCAGATGGACCGACTTCATTCCTTGGTGATTACATGAATTGAATTCAGAAAATAAAATATGGTTATTATCATATGATATAACTATACATTAAATTTGAACGAAAACATCGATTTACTCGAGAAGCAAAAAAAAAAGATTGGAAATTAGGAGTCATATTATGAGCATCTTTTAGCAAAACCCATCTCCCAAAGATACACAGTAATGTGCTTTTTCCTCATTATAAATAAACAAAAAGAGAATATACAAACATATATTTGTATTTGTATAAATTAAGTTATATGATTTTAAATATACAAACCTACCAGTAGACTTGTCCAAGTCTCACTGAAATTCTTCACTTGACCGACGGATCCAAAATTTTAATGATTTTTTATAATGAATGCATGGGTGTATGTATGTGTATATATATATATATATGTGTGAAATTTATGCAGATTTATAATTATTATTATTATTAAATTATTATATAAAAACGTAATGTGTTGATTGTGGTGGTGGTCGCTGTCTGTCATGATAAGTGATGATAATGTTGAAGGAGGCACATGGCGGTCTTATCCCCATTTTCACCTCCAAATGGGTTTTGCTTCAATCTCACCTCTCCAACGTTATCTTTTTTTATTGGATAACCAGGATCATTCTTCATCTCTTCGACCCGACTACATCCATCCTAGATACGGGATCAATCTTTATATATGGACCATTTTGATTTAGAAATTACATCACTCTCTACTAGTGAAATTGAACCCAAGATCTTTATAATGATTTATTACCTCTAAATCACTGCACTACCAATTGTGGTTTCTCCAACATTATCCTTTCATAACTCTCTCTCTCTCCTTAATTAACAAATAATGTACATATATAATAATCATGATCTTAATCTAATGATTGTACTTCTATTCGAAATATACAATGGAATTCAGAAATTGTTATATTAGTCTGTCCAAATTGTTGATTAAATCATTGGTTAAGGAAAAAAGTTGGAGAGAGAGAGAGAGAATGCTGCCACCCACCAAGCACACAAGCACGGGAAACATTATCCAATTTTCACTTGATCAAGAACCTTTTGCCTTTTTATCTTTTCATTTTTTTTAATTTATCAAATTAGGATTTAAAGGTAAAGGTAAAGCGGCCCAAGAGATTTAACTTTACTTTATCTTTTTCAGTTATCGTAAAGAATCAATAAAATATTTTACTCATAAATCTACAAATACATACATATATATACACACACACAAAAAATTTGGATCTTTAGTCTAATAAATTTTTACAGTCCGGATATAGAAATATATATATATATATATATAATAATAAAATTTTTGCTTTCAAATTTTTATATATAAATATATTTGAAAAATACATCTTTTTTATAAGATACACAAATATGATTTTCTTTAGTACATACTAATATTTTTAAAAAAGTAAATCTTGAATTCTGTAACATAAACAAAAACTTTTAACATAGAGCAATAATTATTATGGAAAACATTGTTTCTTCCATGATTCCAAACAAGGGAATTTTGTTACTATAATTTTCCATTGGTGTTCATTTATTCACATATTATATTTATATATAATTTGTGATTTGGAATTTTTTATATATATAATATATGTGTGATTGTGTGTATGAATCCGCAGATATAATCCATATGGATGAGTTCTATTTTTATTACGTGTCTGATGAAACTCGGCGAACAAAATGATTAGTGCTTTCTAAAAGGTCTTTGACAAATGCACTAATTACTCCACTTTTGACATTATAAATTCACCACGTTTTAGCAATTAAAACTATGATAATTCGATATATTTTTTTTAAAAAAAATCACGATAATAATTTTTTTTCAGTGTCTAAATAAAATGACGAGTTTATATATAAATTTCTTGGATTAAAAATCAGCTTTCTGACATAAAAGTTGGCCTAAGCCCCTCTCCTTTTGTGGGGTTAGGACAAAAGCCTTGGAAACGATATTCGGATTTACAAGGTTTAGCAATATCGTATAATTGAAGTATTTGTCTCTTTCGTCGAATAAAGAGTTACGTGATAATTAATAATTTTGGGGAATATAGAAAACTAATAAAAAAAAAGATATAAAGAATTACATTATGTGAAACACAAAATAAAAAAGAATTAAAAGAAAGGGAGTGGAAGGTGGTCCGAGGTTTTAAATGTCATGTTGTTGTAAGTATAACGTATTATATCACTTATCATTTCTACACTTTACTTTGCTCCTAACTTGGCCAAATTCAGTCCAAAGATTCTCTTCTTATTCCACCACCATTTCCCTAACCTTTTTTTATTTGCTTTTCAGTGTTCACATTCATACACTCATTAATGACATTCCATTCATATAGCTTTTTTTAATATAATATATATATATATTACATACCCATCAGCTCTGCACATCATTCACATCATTTGCACTTAGAATTATGCATTCCATATTCATCGAAAAAAAGAGAGAAAAGTCTTACATTTTGTACATACTTGCATGGACTGTCATTAATAGGTTGCATATGTACATATAGGTTTAGGAATGCATTCATACACCTACATAAGATTTTCCTCTCGAAGATTTGGCCGGATGACGATATGGGGGACATAGAGTGAGGATTGGTTTGGAAAGGTTTTAGGAGTTAAGTTTAGATTTATCTAAAAAGTTGAATAGATTGTCGGGTGAAGTAGAAATAGCTGAACTTATCCTAGAGTGAATGAATGTCACATGTGATGATTTTGTCTCCTAAAGTCTAGGTGGAGTAGAGGTTACGAACGAAGCGCAAAACGTCTCCCTAAAAACCACCCTTTGACCCCTAAGTTAAGAAGCCTATAAGAAACAACAAGCCCTAAAAAATACGATGCATCCCGACATTCCTTATCATTATCTCGTTAATGAAAATCATTTAAATTTTCATACGCTTTTCACTTCGCTTTGAATCATATCTTATACTAGATAATCAACTTTGGACGCTTGCGGGCAATTTATATACAGTATAATTCTAGTTATAAAGATGACAGATATATATCATAAATAAATGTAGAGAAAATCGTTGTAATACTCATGAAGATAACTGATAAAATTGCAGAATACACGCGCACGCGCGCGCGAACACACATATATATATATATATATATGACAGATATTTATTGACACTGAAAGCAGTGAAAAGATTTCAATTTCCAAATAATTTCACTCTTTCTGAAAGGTTAGTGAGTAGTTAATCAGACGTCACGACAAACGTCATTTAATGAGATGATGCTTACTTCTCATAATACCTCACATCTGCGCAAACACACATGTCACGTTTGAGACAACGATGTTTTTGCGAGACTCATCACGCGCTATGGTCAAAGTCAAGATTAGTTTGTTTGCCTTGGGAGCATGCAAACCTTCCGTATCAGCCCGAGGCTTTAACAGCCGCCCTCGAACTCTCTTATCAGCGTGTGATTTCAGCCATCCGGGGATTGGTTTTAGCCGTATAGGGTTACACCCGGTTAGGGGTGTAAAACGGACTGGTCCGACTCAGCCCAACCCGGATCATCCCGATCTAGAAATTTTTCAGTACAGCCAAGCTCAACCCGTTTTTTAGCAAGCCAAAAATAGGTCAATCCATCCCAAATCATCCGAACTCGCGAACCAAACGAGCCGATCCACAAACTAAATATATAGTTTTTAAAAATACAATTTTAATACTAAAAAATATTTAAAAATAATTTTAATATTTTAAATATTTTTAAAATATTTAAAATATAATAAAAAATTAAAATTTTAAATAAAATAAACTAAATATATAATAAAAAAATAATTTGTATATATAAAAATATTAAAATTTAAAAAATAATTATTTTTTCTGGCCCGCGAGCCAGCCCGGCCCATGACGAGCTGCCACGAGCCAGGCTCGCGACGCGCTGGCCCGTTAGGCTCGGTTTTTTATGGGCTCGCAAAAATATGAGATTCAGATGGACCAAATTTAACAGATTTCCTATTGAATCTGGGAGCTGAGAAATTCTGTTAGAATGCAAATCCAGCTTTGTCAAGGACGAAAGGCCTCCAATTGTATTCGGCAATACCAATATGCGGTTTTCAGACAAATCTAACGTAACCAGACCCGATAACTGGCCTATAGAATCTGGAAGCCACTCAACTTGATCCATCAGTTTATTCTGCAGATTTAGATCTTGAGTGCCTTTCTTCGCGGATGCCTCGATCAAACTAGCAAGTTTTATCAAAGTCCGGCTCGGGACGGGCTAGCTCGTTAGGCCCGTTTTTTTATAGGCTCAACATACTTGAACCCGACTCGCAAAAATATGGGCTGGCTCGTGAACCAGCCCACGAGTCGGATTCATTTTACATCCCTTGTTCCGGTTGCAGAGCCTATCGGTTTATACCGGTTTAATGCAATCTAGAGAATCGGTTTGGTGAACCAGTCCATGAGTCGGGTTCATTTTACATCCCTTGTTCCGGTTGCAGAGCCTACCGGTTTATACCGGTTTAATGCAATCTAGAGAACCGGTTTGGTGAAGAATCGCGTGGATTGAATTCGTTTAGAATCTTATCCATTTGTATTCTTTCAAGGGGAAAAGAAACGGTCTTTTTTTTAACTGATTCTGACCGCGTTTAGACAAGATTCCTGTCGCAGAGACCACCCACGAGGGACCAAACTGGTTCTGTGTAAAACACAAATATCTAGAAAATAGATAACCATTGCTGACACAGCTTGGCCCTCACATGTATAATGATGGTATTACAACGCCCACCATAAACCTCGTGACCAAATTCACATTATATACTTTTTTGCAATATATATCATAGAAAATAGCTTATATATATATATAAAAGGTATTAATTAACAAATGGGACCAAACATTGGCATAACAGATAGACAAGACAACAACATGTTCATGGGCTTGATGATGGCCAACTCATGCCTCTCCTCAACAACAATTCATCTCAAGATCACAATTCCTATCCACAGAAACATACACACACACATACACACATATGTACATAAACATGTATATGTGTATGTATATGTATTACTCTCATCTTATTCACCTCTCTCACAGTGGGGTTTTAAGCAAATGCAGTTGCAGAGACAATAAACAGACAGGAGGGTTACTGAAAATCCTCGGATTTTACAAGGAGGGTGAGGCAGCAGTTGGTTCACCGGGCGCTGCCAAGGTCCATCCTCAGTCCTAAACGAAAACGAACAAAGAAAACGAGTATATGTATAGATAGAGAGGGAGAGAGAGAGAGGGAGAGAGAGAGAACCCTGCAAGAAGAATGGTACAGGTAAATGAAGAAAGAAAGAAAGAATAATGGGCATGCACAGTTCTTGGAGATCAAATGACTGGTGGAATGATGGTATACATTGTCGTGTAATGACCAGGTTATTCTTGTCCCAATGGCCATAACTGAATTACCTGAAAACAAGAAATGGGTAAATGGCAAAAACGTCTATGACTACCAGTCCAGTTATTTCGAACTCAAGAAAACCTACCTGATATGGACAGATCACTTTGTTAGCAGTTCCGTGATTCGGCTTAAACGAACTCCATGCCGTTCCGTTTCCTCTTGTTGGATTTGGAGAAGAAGCACATCTGAACCCAGCTCTTTTTCTGCTTCACTGTTTGAGTCTTCGTGTTTCTCTTCTCGACGAGATCAGTCATATACTGGACAACAGCCTGAAAACACGGCGAAAACCATTTGAATCAACTGCAATTGTAGAAGAACAAAAACCCTAGAGATTAAAATGAATATGGATCGAAAAGATGGGAGGGTAGAGGAGATAGGGGTAGAGAACCTGAGCCCCTTTTTCAGCTATATCCCTCGGAGGCACTTCTAGAGGATTCTCCTCAGCACGAAGCACACGTAATCTTGTAAGCATTCTGAAGGAATCTGGGAGGAACCGGATCTGGTTATTGCTGATATCTAACACTTCAAGATTCTCAAGGTTACCGATTGATCTCGGGAGAGACCTCATATCGGCAAAATTGTTACCGATGTTCAACTTGACAAGGGTCGTGGCAAAGCACAAGCTCTCTGGAACTGACTCGAGCTCGTTGAAACTCACATCGAGCTCTTTAAGGTTGGCCAAAGACGACATTGTCGTGGGTAACTGCCGGACGTTGTTGTAACGCACAGACAGAACCTCTAAGGTAGTTATCTTCCCGACAGCTTCCGGAAGGGCCTTGAGCTTGTTATAATCAGCACGGAGTTCTTTCAGTGAAGAACACTCGCCAATAGTGTGAGGTATCTCCTCGATATCATTAGTTTCAATGTCGAGTTTCTTCAGGTTCACGAGAGAACCGATAGATTCAGGGAGAACAGAGAGGCTGTTGGAGCTCAAATCAAGCTCCTCTAGACGAACCAATCTGCTCAATACTGATGGCAGAGATGATAAGTGGTTTCCACTAAGATTCAGATGGACCAAATTTAACAGATTTCCTATTGAATCTGGGAGCTGAGAAATTCTGTTAGAATGCAAATCCAGCTTTGTCAAGGACGAAAGGCCTCCAATTGTATTCGGCAATACCAATATGCGGTTTTCAGACAAATCTAACGTAACCAGACCCGATAACTTGCCTATAGAATCTGGAAGCCACTCAACTTGATCCATCAGTTTATTCTGCAGATTTAGATCTTGAGTGCCTTTCTTCGCGGATGCCTCGATCAAACTAGCAAGTTTTATCAAACTCAGCTTATCCCCATCTTGGCCTACACAGACAATGATTCCATGGGAGTTAGAGAAACGAATATATTCTATTCACGGAGACGGAGGAATCAAGAACATCGAAACACTATATTCCATGTTAAATTCAGTGCTGAATTTCAAGCTCTATATCCTCAGAAAGGACAAGAAAACCCCCCACAATGAGTTTGTCTCAGCTGTTCGAGTTCCAACACCCTCATATTTCGAACATTTCAAGTTAGTTTATCAACTGGTTATGACAAGCTTCGAACCGAATGTGTCGGTCGGAACCAATGGATAAGCAGAGAAGAAGGCTCGTAGAATTTAAACTCACCGGAGGCGATTCCCGGCTGAAGCGTTGAATCCAGAATCCGGGGTTGGCGAGAAGTAACAATACCATCGCCGTAAATCGAGGATTTGGCCTTGGCAACGTAGCTATCGTCGCGTGTGAACAGTTCCTTGGATTTGACAGGCCCCTTCTCGGAAAAATTCAGGCTTGTCGGAGAACCAGAGGAAAACGCCGGCGCTGGAGACGGAGTCACCGGAGGAGGCCGAGCAGGAGCAGGAGCAGGGGCAGAACCGTTGGACGAAGGCGGAGAAGAAACGCAAGACGAAGCTCTCTGAATCAAATCGTCGAATAGAGTGTGGATGGATTCCAGATCGAGAAGCTTCAGAGCCTCCATCTTCTGTTCTTTGCTCTGGAAGTAAACAAAGGCCTTCTTCATCTCCTGCAACACCATGAAAAGCTCCTCAGGAACCTCGGAGCTCTTCGTCAGCTTAGCAATGGCTTCCAACCGCGCCTGGTCCTCCTTGTCGACGTTCTGTATCAGATCCCTCGCAGCTTCAACCTCGTCGATCCCAGGCCTTGGAGGCAAGGATCTGTGAATCCTCATGATTTCCTCCACCACTTGGTCCGTCGATTCCCAACGCTTCTCCATTTTCTACGAATCCACAGTTCCAGAGCCCCAATTGAGAAGAACCCAGAAGAGAAAAACCGAAACTTTGACTGAAACTGCACGAGAACGACGGCGAGAATCAAAGGGATAGAGAAAGAAAAAGGCGGTTTATGTAGAAACCCAGAGGTTCTTGTTTCGTCGAAGAAACCCAGCTGTTTCCATCACTCTCTGTCTCTTATCTCTCTGTCAAAAAAAAAAAACTTTTTTTTTTCTCCTCCTCCCCTTCCAGTTCCTCCTCTTCTTCTCCTCCATCTCCATATTATTATTAGTAACTAATATTATTATCATCATTATTTAGTTAATTATAAAGATTGCATGCCTTCCTTAATCTAATTTTAAAAAAAATACCAAAAATACAGCGATTCATTTCTAAATTTAATCAATTAATTTAATTTTAAGTTTCAGGATGACGGAAATAACGTGAACGGTGGATGGTGACCTATCGTTCATCCATGGACTCTCACGTTCTTCCCATTTTTTTCCATCTATACGTACACCGTTTCTCGTATTTTTCAACACCCAATTAAATAAATAAATCTAACAAATAATACATTAATATTATCCGCATGAAACGGGGCCTTGTTCCGTTTTCTGACTGCCCATATAAAATGGAAAAGAATAACGATTGAAATAAACTGTTTTTTTGGACCGTTTTGTAATTCATTATTTTTACGTGTGAATTTATTCATTTTTAAAAAACGCCCTCAGAATGTTATGGGGATTAACAAAATTAAATTAAGAAAGAAGACGATGCGTCGTTTTACTAGAAACATTACAGATCAATAACATAAATTTTTAGTTAACTAATCACGAAAAAATCATTAGTGTTAAGAGGGGGTGATTAATTAAGACAAAAAAAAAAGGTTAAAATCGGAGAAAAAGCCATGTGTGAGAGGGGACACGTGTCGGGGACATGGCCGATGATGTCTGTCCTTACCTGTATCCAGCTGGCAACTGTAAATAAATATGTTAATTTTCACAATATTTTCGAAAATAGAAGAATTATGTAATTTGGGTTTATAGTAGGGAATTAATTAAGTATGACTAATTAAATAATAATTAGAGTGATGATTGGGATTGGGGGGTAAATATGTGTCACGTGGGCTGCACTTTTCCATGTCTGTCACTCGTGAATCTAATCGTCCTACGTGGCAAACGTGAACGGAAACTTCCTGCTTCTATAATCTAACCACATATATTATATAGATCTCTCTTTAATTAAAGATATTAGTAGGGCTGGGCGTTTCGGTCCGGTTCTTCGGAACCGGACCGAACCGAACCGTTAAAACGGTATTTTTTCCGATCCGAAACCGTTGTTATTTTTCGAACGGTACCATTTTTAGAGAACCGAATTTTTTCGGAACCGAACCGAACCGAACCGAACTTTAAAAATCCCGAAAAACCGAATATTTTTAAAGGAAATCTAATATTTTTTTAATAAAACCCGGAACCGAACCGAATTGATACCGAAACCGAACCGAACCGAATACAATAAAAAACCCGATTGATACCTATTTTTGTAAAACCGAAAGAACCGAACCGATCTATTCCGTCCCGAACCCGAACCGTTTCCTGAAACGTCCACCCCTAGATATTAGTACTATCTTGTAGGGTTGGTTAAAATGCCGAAAAATTGAACAGATCCGTTATTCGATTCGTATCCGAATCGAAAATTTGGATATCCATAATTTACGAATCGAATACGAATATTTATCGGATACAGATATCAAAGTTGAATTATTCGACATATCCGATCCGTACTTTGTAATAATATTATTAAATATAAAAATAATTTGATATAAATATTTAAAATACTTAATATTTATATATTTTTAAAAAAAAATCAAGAAATATTTTATAGTTATTAAAGTTTAGAATGTTTAATCTTTTGAATATTAAGATTTATTGTGTTTAATATTTAAAATTTTGAACTTTGAATATTTTTATATGTGATAAATTATGATTGTATTTGTATTCGAATTGATTTGAAATGTTTAAATTATGAATTTTAAATTGTGAATATCGTATATATATTATATAGTTTATATATTTTATTTGCGTTTGAATTTATTAGTTAATTTTAATTCAAAATTTTATAACGGTGTAGGTCGGATACAAATATTCGCAAATATCCGTGATTTTTACGGATATCCAAAATTGCGGATATTCAAAAATTATGGATTAGATACAGATAACAAAATCGAATATTTATGCAGATCGGATCCGGATACAGATATCTCAAAAATCTAGTTTATTCGATGTGTACCCACTTCTACTATCTTCTTATCAATTTTTTTTATAAAGCTATCTTCTTATCCATTTATATACACTTAATCTTAGAGATCGACTATTACGATATGAAAGTTTAATTATCCTAATTCATATTTGAATGTTTTGGATATTAACACCAAAATCTGATTTCCTATCAATAAATTTTGAATATTTTTAAAAATGGGATAAATAATTCAAAAAAAATCTTCCGATAAACAAAATCAAATGATAGCGAGCCAAATAATATATAATTCTATTCAAACCTAATATAAATGAAAGAAATTTTCTAAAAAAATTCCAAATCCGAAACATAAAACTTCAAAATATCGTAAGAAAAAGGCTGGGGTTTCGGTATTTGGTCGAGGTTTGGATAAAAAATGGTTGGGTTCGATTCTTTCGGTTTTACAAAAATATATACCAATCGATTATTATATTATATTCGGGTCGTTTCGGATTTTTATTTTAAAACATTAAATCTTCTTAACAAAATTTAGTTTTTCAGATTTTTTAAAATTCGGTTCGATCGATTTTAAAAATTTTAATTTTTCTAAAATTAATAACGTTCGGAAATTTTAAGCAGTTCGGATTGAAAAAAATATCGTATTTTCAGTTAGATACAGTTCGAAACAAATGGCCACCCTTACAACTCTTATGAGAGAGGATGCTGCGGATGTTGATGCATGACGACGTGAATTAACCGAAAACTAATTAAAATTAACGTAATTTAAGCCGATATATATAGCGTAAAATAAATGAAATTTTATACGTGCGAGGAAAGATTATATTTTTCGCGTCTAGAATTATTAATTTTCTTGGTTCGTAGAATTAAAGAATTGTATTAAATAACCAATAATCAAATCTATACCCAAGACATGATTAGATTGCTGTCTGTTAATAAGAAACCCAAAGATAGTTTTATTCTACTGTCTTAGCTCAAATAAGCAAGCAATCATATTATCAAATGCGGATCAGAGGGCGGAACGCGCGTTTTGTAGATAAATTTATGCAAAGGAAGGTGGCTCCACAGTAGGAAAACGCGCGTTTCCAAACGCAGTCTCGAAACCGAACAGAAAAAGGCCGAAAGAAGTGGGGCCCATGACAGGTGAAACAGGCCAATTCTTATCAGTTTGAAGATTCGCTCCGACAAGATTTTGCGTCGGACAAAGCAACCGCAGACCGATCGCAAGGAGAAGAAACACATCACAGAAAAAGAAAAATGAGGAGACAAAAACCTCAGCAAAACTAAATTCAAAACGAAACACCAATTCCCAATCTCTTTCCTTTTTTTCTTTATTTTCATGATTTTCTTTTATGAATGAGAAACATTGGAAGGAGAATAGAGATGGGATTTATGCAAACGAGAAGCCCTTGGAAGCCAAGTGAGCGAGGGTCAATCTAAAAACCACAAATTCAATATAAATAGAGGGAACAGGAGAGTGCAAACAACCAGAAGATAGAATTTATGGCCTTTTAAAACTGGCAGATTTTTCAGCACATGGAGAGAAATGAACCTTCACTTCAGGCAAATGGCCTCTGTTAACTTATCTCACAGGAACGCGTCCTTCTCGAGCAGCTTCACCACCTCGTGCTGGTTGTTGAGCTTGGCCACGTCGATGGGGGTCTTCCCGTCCAGGTTTTGCAGGGTCCTGTGTGCATAAAACTCTGGTCAAGATTCCGCATTTACCGTGTGCATATCGTTAAGAATGTTGCCTTGTACTTACACTGCAGCTCCATTCTCCAGGAGAAGGCTGACACACTCTT